AAATTTTGCGTAGATATTTGTTCCTTCATTTACACTTGATATTAATTCAAAGAAATTACCGAGAGTTAGCGCCATTTAAATGATCTATATAATGGATTAGTTAATTATCCATGAAATAGTGGATAATTATGCATAAACCATCTAGTAGAAGTGGTTGGGATAAACATTTCTGTAAATTATAGTTTACTCAAATCGCTGCATCCTTTAATATACCATTTTGATGCATTTTAGCTTAGACATTTTTTGCATTTTTTGTTTTTGGAAGCAGGTCCGTAGTCAGACTGAAATTTAAATCAAGGGAGATTTTGGGAGTTGAAAGTATGTAAAGTTATTCATTGGTACTAAAACTAAGGGTAGAAACTAGAAACAATGTCTGAAAATGTAGATGCCTTCAAAATTAAGTGAAATTAGTGAACCTAGTGAACCAATTTGTAAAAAATGAAGTAAAAATTGTTCGAGACCGTTCAGAGACCAAGGAACTGAAAAATTTTTTAAAATCCTAGGTGCCTGCAGCTTTAGTTAGAGAGATGTGGATATATTGGTTTAAATGTTAAAATTGAATGCCCAGTAAGTGCAATCAAATTACAAAAAATTGAGTTTAAATTATTCAAAGCTCGTTCAGAGGAGGTTCAGAGGAGCAGAAGCCTTGTCTAAAAATCTAAACGCCTTAAAAACCAGAAGAAATAGTAAAAAATATATGGACGTATATTAGTTTATATGTTAAAATTAAAGGCCTAGGTAAGTGCAATAAAAAATTACCTTAAAACTATTCAGATTCCATTCAAAGGTTAGATTATGTTAAAAGGTTAGTTAAAACTAAAATCAGGAGCCCGAAAATTTGCAGCTTTAGTAATAAAAATGTTATGTGTAGAAACAGACTATGTAGAGGTTAGAGATGTTATAATTCGAAAAAAAAAGAGAGGAAAAGTGACAAAATAACCATTTTCGGAAGCAAAAAGTTGGGAAAATTGGAAGAAACTCGGAGAAAACTTCCTGATCCTTTCCTGGAGTGAAATTCAATAAATAAGAAAATAATATATGTTAATAAAAGTTTTACATTTTGGATGCCACAAATTAGCAAAAGGCAAATAAGTATAATATTTTATTTAAAATTCATAAAATTTGTCTAAACAAAGAGAAGAAACAAAATATCGGTTCTCTATGATCCAAAAAAATAATATTTAAAGTATATTTTGAGTTTTAACCAAATTTCGACAAAAAAGCATAATAAAAAAGTGGGTTCAGGAACCCCATTATTTTGTGAATTAAGATATTTATAGTCTTTTTCTGACTCTTGAGTTATCTGAGCACATGTCTGATGCTTCTGAATCTTCTGATTCTAGAGCTCTTCATCATTCTGAACATTTCAAAATAATAATATGTATTTTTCTCTAAAAGCAGAGCTGGTCTAATGATTTGTTTATTAAAATAATTTCTAAAGGTTAGTTTTATACGATATAATATAACATTTAAATTAGCAAGCAAAGTGGCTAGAACACCTTATATCTTGGACTGATAAAAGTTAAATTTTCCCTAATTTTTCATATTTTTCGAATATTTTTTTTGCACAATTTTTTCCGGAAATTTTACACCTCTATAGTCTGTTTGGAAATGAAAGAGAGCAATAAAACCCCGAGATAAGAACCGGCCATGGGCGTGGTAATATTTCGTTTCAGGTAATTATCGGGTAACACTAATGCTAACAAAAATGACAGGGATTGGAAAATCGACTATCTACAGACTTTTAAAGGAAACAAAAAATGAACAAGATACTGTAAATCCCCCAAAATCATCTACAGGGAGGTCAAAAGTCGTTATAGATGATTTCTTCAAAAATGTCATTCTCAGAAAAGTACACCCATTTTATTTTAAAAAAGAAATAACCAACGCTAAACAAAATTTTAAGTGAACTTTCAGAGGACAACGATTTGCCAAAAATCAGTAGAAGCAAATTATGGGCCGTCTTACGAGAGTTGAATTTTTGCTGGGAAAAGCAGAACAGGAAGTCAGTTCTTATCGATAAAGATGGAATTATTTGTTGGCGAAGATCCTACTTAAGACCAATTAGAAAATTCCGTGACGAAGGGAGGAATATTTATTATTTAGACGAAACTTGGGTCAACGAGGGATATACTGTAACAAAAGTATGGCAAGATAAAAATGTAAAAAGTTTTCGACAAGCATTTTTGGATGGACTTTCAACAGGGTTCAAGGCACCTTCAGGTAAAGGGCGAGGATTAATAGTAACACATATAGGTAGTGCCAGTGGTTTTGTAGATGGCGGTTTACTTTTATTTGAATCTAAAAATACAGGTGACTATCACGAAGACATGAACGCAGATGTTTTTGAAGAGTATTTTACACAGATGTTGGATCTTATTCCTCCGGGGTCTGTAATTGTCATGGATAATGCCAGTTACCATTCACGGCAGACCGAGCGGACGCTTACGACTGCTTGGAGGAAAACCGATATAATTCAATGGTTATCCGGAAAAAACATTTCTTTTGAAACAAATATGGTGAAAAAGGAACTTTTGACACTTGTCAATCTTAATAAAGATCAGAAAAAATATGTTATCGATGAAATGGCAACAAATCGCCAAATAACGGTACTACGGTTACCACCTTATCACTGTGAACTTAACCCAATCGAATTAGTCTGGGCGCAGGTAAAAGGAGATGTAGGGCGAAATAATACGACGTTTAAACTGTGACGTGAAAATTTTGTTAAAAAATTCCTTGGAACGAGTAACTGCAGATAACTGGCAAAGATGTATACATCATGTACAAAAAGAAGAGGAGAAAATGTGGGAACTCGATAATTTATTTGACGTTACTGTGGAACCTATCGTTATCAATCTAGGAGTCGAAGATAATTCATCAGAATATTCAGAGGATGAATTTTAATATACCTACTTTTTTATTTTCTTTATTGTACATTTATACAACACTACATTTACTCACCATAATTTGAATTTTCAAAATACATATATTTTTGCGTGGAATAAAAGTCTATTCATTAAATTTAAATAAATATTTTGATAATAATATTGAATAATTTTATTTGAATTACTAAAAATCCTCTTAACCCGGTTATGATGCTTAAAGTAGCCTCATGTTTTGAAATGCTGTTTTTATATTGTTTACTTATAAGAGAAATAGACCGAGAAATTGAAGCGGCATAGACAAAGACGGATTGTCTGGGATTAAATTTTAGCTACCTGCTACAATTTAGTACAACCCGGTCACACAAAGTTTTTTTAAAAGTACTTATCTATACCGATAATACATAATATAAAAATATTGAATATAAGCACCAGTACTACATTTATTTACGATTTGCATACATAATAAGCTTTTATTACTCTCTTTCATTTCTAAACAGACTATAGTAGACTGTCCTCTAACTTTGTTTTTATAATAATACAGGTTAATTTATTTTTCTTTTTCGAGTGATTTGTTTAGTGTATTTTCTACATATCAATACAATTTCATTTTAATTCTAATCTACTTGAATTTACTTATAGTTGTAAAAAAATCATTTTTTATAGAAACTACAATTGCTGCATCGCACGTTAAATATGAAGGCATACTAGGTATAGCAAATGTTAAATTAAGATGAAATTAACATTTAATACTAAAATGAACCATATTTGACAACAACGGTTTATACAGGGTGTAAGAAGTTTGACTGCCATTACTTCAGCATGAGATAGAGTAATCATAAATGAACAAAAAGCGAGTACTAATATTGGGGAGTTTCATCACAACGTGGCGACAGCGCTTAACCTAATGTTACACAGCTAATGCACACCACGTGTGCACGCGGCAGACTTGTCCTACGGAAAAAATGTAAACAACTAGTATTGCGAAACATTTAGTAAATTTAAGAGAATTGTTTTCCAGTTTTTAAATAAATAAAATAAAATCTATCGATTTTGTAGTACAAAGATAGTGATGTGCTTAAATTTTAGCGCGAATTTTAGTAATTATGAATCTCTTAAAACAGGAACTTAACTTTTAATCACATTATGAGTTTGAAAAATATGTAATTAAAGTACCCAAAGATTCACGTCATCCAAATAATCATACGTATTAAAAATAATTTAGGTACTTACCAAAAAGCAAAATTAAGTAATTTTTAATCACACAAATACAAAACAAACTATAACATATGCTCAAAATGTCCACCGCCATTTTCGATGCACGCACGACACTTTCGAATCCAATTTTCGCGTACTCGCTGGAAAACACCTCAAGAAAAGGAAATAGTGGTGCGCAAAAAACACTCCAACACGGTCCAATTCCAGATACCAACACCAACTGAAATGCGTATTGATGGACAGCTTAGTACCTCCTGTTATCCGCACCGCCTTTGTCACATTGCTTGATATGAATTTTATCGAATTTTAAATTTATTACAACGCTAATTATTCTTTAGAATTAAGCATACAGAGGTGATAAACATTGTATTTTATGGTACGCAATTATGTCAATATTCCTCAATTAATCGAACTTTTGTACATCAAGTTGGAGATTTTGATAATTTTTGTCTCGGAAATGGTTGAGTTTAGGACCCATGTCATATTATAAGGTTTTTTTTGTTTATTTTAATGTATTCCACCGTCTGTTAAAATTAAGGCAGTCAAACTTCTAATACCCTGTATAAGGACATTGCCAATGTTAAGTACTCTAATCTGCCCCTGAGTGCGATCAAATTATAAAAAATAAAAATTCAGATAATTCCGTTTGAATGATCTAGGCGCCTTGAGAACTTTCAGAATACAGTGCCGGACTTTGGCTTTTAAGGTCCCTAGGCCCTACGGATAAAACGGACCCCCGCAGAAAGGACGAATGGACAACGAACATATTTCCGTGAATATCAAAACTCCGCCGACAGTAAGCTCAAGATCAAAATTTGCATCCCGAGCGCCGTCGAGAAAGCTCGATGGTTCTTCGGCGAGCACTTTCATATGTCTTTCATTCGCCGTCAACCTCGACAACGCTAGCCACCAGCTGGCCGCGATGTTGCTGTAGAACTCCGAGAGATACGTATGTCGCGATGTGCTGCCGCTATCTGGCGCGTCTCGGTGAAGTTATTTAGTGCCTAGTATGATGGAACCTGGAAGTAACCCAGTTGATGAGGACTTACTTAAAAAGTGTGAGTTGCTACCCCTTTGTGAGTTTAGATTGCTTTGGGAATCCCTCGCCTGTCAGTGTGGTGACAGTTCAACAAACAAAATAACTCGCCCTTGCTACTCGATCAATTTCTTTCTCGCAAACTAGGCCGACTATTTGAAATTATTAATTTATGGAAATTTGTTCTGTTACGAAGTCATTGTAATACAGGAATAGGTAACACAATTGTTGGGAAAAAGTAGTGTAGCGGATTTGAACGCTCCAATGGGTTTTAAAGGTTAAAAACTGGCTCGAAAAAGTTATTATAATAATACGCTACAGCGGTAATCGTATTTTTTGATAGTTTGTTGTGAATTTTGCGGAGGAATTTAGAAAAGCGAAACTGCGACTCTTTTCTATAAAAGTTACCAAGCAAAGAAAGTTGCTTGACTTGACTACGATGAAAAGTTCAAGAGAAATAAATATGCAGAATTATGTAAAAAAGTTATTAAATGAGGATGCATGCAGATATTACGAAATAATTTTCGAGTGGGGGTGGTTTGCCAAGGATTCGATTTAAACGGTTTCGATGAAAAGTGAAAGTTACAAGTCTAGTGCTACATTTTTTTTTCTATAAATTTTGGAATTCAGCAGAATTGTATATATTTACCAGGGATTTTATTTTTTTCTGTTATATGTTGTTTTTATGTGCCAAAACATTTCAAACAGTATAAAGGTGACCTTTAGCCCAAATACCAATTTAGAATTTAAAAAAGTACCAAGGCTGTTCAAGGACCCATCGTTTGCAATAACTACATTGATTTTAATGCAACATTACTTAGCTGAATATTATAGTTCCAGTTACATTTTTTAATGGTAACAGAAACGACCTTGTTTCCATCTTTTTATTCTCTAGAACTTTATAGAAATATTTTTGCATAATTACTTACCTATAGTATTAGAAATCGGTTTCAAAATAGTTTATAATGTGAATTGCGACAATATTTTGCATACAATTGTTTATAAGCAATTAGGAATGATTTAAAACGTTTACACAAGTACAATCAGATCAATTCTTGTTAGAAAATAAATCATTACTTTTTTTATGTTGTATGACGATAAACGTCTACGAAATTCTATTGATTTCGTAAGATATTCCGATGTACTGGAGAAAACTTTAAATTCAATTCTGCAAGGCTATAAATCAAAGACAGTTTTATAGTCGGCAAGCTGTTGCCATGGTAACCAGGTTGATGGCCAGTAAATGTCAAAATTTGTATTTGATTAATTTATTCAAAGTGAAATAAAAATACTTCTTTGATTTTTATCTTAGTCTTATAAATTACAGATTTTTTTTTCAAATTTTAGGTGACCGTAACTTCTTCCTAGAGCCGCACCTGTCGGCATAAACAGTTTAATTTGTTACTTATTGCTATTTTCCAAATTCTGAATTTTTAATATATCCTGCAGTCCTAAATACTTACATAATCTCTATATCATTGTGGTACAAATTATTATTATTAAAACCAAACGGAATCTCTTAGCATAAATTAAAATATATCTATATACATATAAGTACATTATTGGTAAATTTTGGAAAGCGCAAATTCAAATTTATTCCTGGTCGTGCTGGATTTACTAGTTATTTTAAGATTTCGATATTGCGCAAGATAGTGGTAATTACTGTTTTCGATGCAACTGTGTTTATAAAAATAAGCTGCATGGATAATAAGGTTAGTGGCGCGCTGTTTGCTTCGCTCGATTATGTCTTGTAAGGATTAAGGGCCGGTTTATTGGTGGTTACACAACTAACACTTTTTATGTAAAGTAAAACTTGAATTTATAAACACATTTTTACTAAGATAACAGTCATTTTTAGAAACAAATGTTGACTAAAATAGAAGATTCTAAAATTAAATTGTAGTAAACCTCATGAAATTTACTTTTCCAAAATTTTAGCTGAACAATTTTCAGACCTGTTGCCACGTTGTCGGTTTAGGTTTCTTGACCTTTCGAGACATATCGCTCTTCTTCAGAAGAAATACGAGAGTTTCTATAAAACTCACGAAAACTCGTGATCAGGAAAGCTCTTGATCTAAAGTGAAATACAACAAGGCACGGCTTTCTTTTTCATCGTGTATAACGCAAATATTTGTCATAATGGCTAAGATCATTTCAAATTTCAGTAGTATTGTTGTAAAGTTGAATTAAAAAATATTTGTGAAACTGTTTTGAGAAAATAATAAAATAAGTTCTTTTTTCGAATTTTCCACCAAATCATAGAAATAATTAGGCAATTTTTACTCGAAAATGTGTTTCTCTTGCACCTTGTTCTAAAATATTCTCAGTCTTTACTACTGACTAATAATTGGTTGAGGCCAGAGTTCCAAAATTACCGGAAAATTGGATGGTGGATTTTTTCCTAGAAACAAATGGAGAAAATAAAAATTCTAAAAATTAAATTTTGTTAAAAACTAGGATTGTATCATTATAAATAATATATACATACATACATGGTGATTCCTTTTTAAACATACTAATAATAGAGGACTTGATTTTGAATAAAACGTGAACATAGGTCATTTAAATTTTTTTAATCATTTTTTGATTGCATCTCAAAAACATGAACATTTTTGTTCGAAATTAAGTCCACTATCAACTTTTAGCTCCTTTAAAAAGGGAACATCCTGTAAATTAAAAAAAAACTTATTTAAATATATATATATATATATATATATATAAATATTTAAAAAAATAAGAATCAGATCATTTCTGTCTTTAGAAGAAACTGCTAAAGATTCATAATATGTTCAGAATTACAGCATATTGCTCTAGAGAATCAGAAGCATCAGGTATGAAATCTGAAGATCTTTCTTGAAGTAAATTTGCAAATTATTGTTTTTTCTGAGCTTGTTTTTTTAATTTGCTTGTATGTTGAAATTTGATTAAGAAAACTTTATATTTTGTTTTTTTTTTAGTTATCTAGAACTAATTTTTGTTCCTGTCCGTTTTCTACTTATGAAGAATTAGGACTGTTTTTTTTTCCGTTTTAAATAAAAAATATTATGTCTATTAATTTGTGCTGCAGTTCTACTAGGAGTAGTTTCAGATCTCGATTCCGAATATACAGAGTGATTCAAAACTTATCAAAAAAAAATTTGAATGTACAGGGGACTCTTACAAATACAATTTTGTAAAAAAAATAAAAAAGGTCAGTTCAAAATGATTTAACAATACACTTCTGCTCGTCACTGGAAACTGGTTCACTGTAAAACCTGAACCTACACTAGGCAAAGGATGCAGTCGGAGACCGACACGGCGGCAAAGTGTAAAAAAATAAAGGAACAAGAAATTTAAAGAATTTCTTTCCCACGGAAAGAAATAAAGAAAATTTTATACACCTATTTTATATCGGCGAATTCAACTACTTTTGCTGCTATTATTATTAATCAATAAAATTAATTTGTGGTTTTAATTAATAAAACAATTAGACATACCTGATGTTTCAAACACTGTTCAAAATTTTGTCCACCGACGTGTAAACATATTTGGGACTGTCTTACCAATACCACCATCACACAAATGCTTCACCATAACGCAAATGTTGTTTTGCTTCACCTTAAATTAAAACAATATCTATCAACTCCCGAGTTGCTATACCTACACGTAAACCATTTTTGACACTTGAAAAACTAATGTAAACACTATCGCGAAAACGTAAGTACTAACATCGGATTTCAGTATTTGGAATCGTCTGGGGCCACGTAGATCACCCTGTATAAGTTGTATTAAAATATGTTATTTTCGTATTCGCTTGCAAAATATATGAGAAAAGTAGTTTAATAAGTATTTTAAGAACTGTCATTCCGTGTTTCTTAAATTTTTCGCTTTTTACAATTTTTTTTCAAATATGGAAAAAGGAAAAATGTTTGTTTCCAATATTTTCTGTTTTTCTTCGGAATTATGAAATATCTATTTTCTCAATAGGTATAGCTAACTTAGGTGACAATCCTAAAATAATTGCTGAACGTTTCTAAAAAAATATTTTAATAGCTTTTATAAATCTCATGATTTTTCGGTCTTTTTTACGTCTCTTGCTTGATGTCGCAATATTTTCAAAAGACTTAAGCGAATTTAAGAGACCTTTACGCCAAAAAAAAGCAAATGAAAGTAAATCCATTAAGCCGCGTTTCGAAACAGCGGGGACAAATGAAATTAGCGTCGCCGCCTGTGTCGTTTAAAATACTTAAAACGTGATAACGAGTTTATTTGGAATTACCCGTATTATTAGCCCGTAAAAAGCCGCAGAAAAGCCTGCAGCGCTGGTTGGCATTTTTATTGGTGCTATCCGAAAATAACAAGCGCACAAACAATTAAAGTCGCCAGCGGACTAGTCGCAGTGATTTATTTTTTTTTTGCAGAACAAAATATGAAACTGCAAATTCTAATTTAATTACGTGAAGCAAAAAACCATAACAAATAACAGTATTAATTAAATATGGGAAATATACAGGGTGTAAGAAGTTTGACTGCCATTACTTCAGCATGAGACAGAATAATCATAAATGAACAAAAAAGTTGTATATTACAGGGGCGTAAGATGAACAGTTTTCAAAATACAGCGAGTATTAATATTGAGGAGTTTCATCACAATGTGACAACAGCGCTACACAGCTGATGCACACCACGTGTGCACGCGGCAGACTTGTCCTACGGAAAAAATGTAAACAACTATTATTGTGAAACATTTAGTAAACAAGACAATTGTTTTCCAGTTTTTAAATAAATAAAATAAAATGTATCAATTTTATAGTACGAAAGTATAGTTGTGCTTAAATTTTAACTCGATTATGAATCTCTTAAAACAGGAACTTCACTTTTAATCAAATTATGAATTTGAAGATATGTATTTAAAGTACCCAAAGATTCACGTCATCCAAATAATCATACGTATTAAAAATAATTTAGGTACTTACCAAAAATTCAGTAATTTTTAAACGCACAAGTACAAAACAGATTACAACATATGTTCAAAATGTCCAT